CCCCCTTCCCCCACAGAGGGGCCCGGGCTTAAAGGAGAACTATGAGGTGAGTGAAAATCACTCAGCCTCATAGTTCGAGGCGATGTGTGACAATGAAACTGTCACATGTCGGCTCTAGAGATCGGGAAGTGAGCGAACACATATCGTCGCTCGCTCACTTCTCGCCCTATCCCTGCAGAGAGAGGTGACTGTCACTCGCGGCTCCCCGCAGGGATTCCCCCCCTCCCCGCTCCGATCCTCCAGCGCTGACTGGCGGAACGGACGGGGGAGGGGGCGGGTACAGCTGCCTCTAGATAGGCAGAGCCAGCTGTCACTCACGCAGCTGGGTGGATCTCCACAGTAATGTCGGGATCCGTCCCGGCTGCGGCGTCTCAGTATACCGCGAGCTGTAGCTCCCTATACTATATACTGAGCTTCGGGTCACAGGAGGAGGTTAGTTTATGTCCTCCTGTGACCCTTAGGAGAACTATGGGGAAAAGCCCTGACCCCCCATAGTTCTCCTTTAATCAAGAGCCCCATCCCAACCATTGGAGGGGTCAGTAGCCTTCCCTTAGTGGAGTATGAAGCTGCTGCTGGCCATGTGGGGCCGTCAGATGACATTTTCCCCCGGGGTCCCCACAGGTGTCATCATTTTTATTATATTGCGCAATATTGTTCTTCATTAAACATTATCGGATTTATAGGAGAAGGTCGCCGCGCCCGGCTTTCCGCTCTGACCTTTTATTCATTTCAGACCTTCGCAGTGCGGTTTTACAAGCCCGGTGCATGAAAAGGATATTATCTGACTTACAATGTTATTTATTGAACAAATCGCCCCCCTGGGACCCCAGAAACACGCGTCACATTGTATCCTTTCCCTCTCTCTGGTCTTCTATAGTCCGTCCTCCTCACCGGCAGAGGAGCCGTGTGTGCCCCTGCGCAGCCCCCCATTGTATTACTACGCAGGGGCGGCTGCGACGGCTTGATTTTAGAGGCCATCCAGATGCCGAATTATATCAAGAGGTGGAAATAGCGAGGATATCAATCTCAGCGGCTGCACACCATCTAATCTCCAGGAGAGGCCGGTCCCGACCCGTTCCGCCACAGATACAATTATTTGTAGAAGTTGAGATTCGCTCGCCGAGCTGCGCCATGGAGCCATTATTATCGGGAGGTCTTCAGATAAGAGAGGCCGGCGGACCGAGAGATGTGATAATTCCTGGCGGTGCGCGGAGATTTGTCACCATGGCAGCTCTACACACAATACACCGACCTTTATCTCCTCCGTCCGATAACCAGAGAACAGACGCAGAGCGAACCGCCGGATCGAGGACCAATCCTGGCCGGACTGATATGCACACACTGAGCAGGCTGGACGATACCCAACCAGCAACACTCACCGATCGGGGGGTACAGAGGAGCTTACACTCTAATATCCCCCCACAGTCACATCAGTCTCTGTACAGAGGAGCTTACACTCTAATGTCCCCTCCCCACAGTCACATCAGTCTCTGTACAGAGGAGCTTACACTCTAATGTCCCCTCCCCACAGTCACATCAGTCTCTGTACAGAGGAGCTTACACTCTAATGTCCCCTCCCCACAGTCACATCAGTCTCTGTACAGAGGAGCTTACACTCTAATGTCCCCTCCCCACAGTCACATCAGTCTCTGTACAGAGGAGCTTACACTCTAATGTCCCCTCCCCACAGTCACATCAGTCTCTGTACAGAGGAGCTTACACTCTAATGTCCCCTCCCCACAGTCACATCAGTCTCTGTACAGAGGAGCTTACACTCTAATGTCCCCTCCCCACAGTCACATCAGTCTCTGTACAGAGGAGCTTACACTCTAATGTCCCCTCCCCACAGTCACATCAGTCTCTGTACAGAGGAGCTTACACTCTAATGTCCCCTCCCCACAGTCACATCAGTCTCTGTACAGAGGAGCTTACACTCTAATGTCCCCTCCCCACAGTCACATCAGTCTCTGTACAGAGGAGCTTACACTCTAATGTCCCCTCCCCACAGTCACATCAGTCTCTGTACAGAGGAGCTTACACTCTAATGTCCCCTCCCCACAGTCACATCAGTCTCTGTACAGAGGAGCTTACACTCTAATGTCCCCTCCCCACAGTCACATCAGTCTCTGTACAGAGGAGCTTACACTCTAATGTCCCCTCCCCACAGTCACATCAGTCTCTGTACAGAGGAGCTTACACTCTAATGTCCCCTCCCCACAGTCACATCAGTCTCTGTACAGAGGAGCTTACACTCTAATGTCCCCTCCCCACAGTCACATCAGTCTCTGTACAGAGGAGCTTACACTCTAATGTCCCCTCCCCACAGTCACATCAGTCTCTGTACAGAGGAGCTTACACTCTAATGTCCCCTCCCCACAGTCACATCAGTCTCTGTACAGAGGAGCTTACACTCTAATGTCCCCTCCCCACAGTCACATCAGTCTCTGTACAGAGGAGTTTACACTCTAATTGTACTTGAATTTGGACACTGACATGCTATTAGATGTCATTAGTGAACGGCGTCATGTCCCGGTCTCCTCCTCTCTGACGTCGGACCTGATATGGAACGTTCCGGCAGGATGATGATGACGGGAAGGTTCTCTGACGAGCGGTCCACATCGAGTGCTATTAAGCGGCACAGAATGATCTCGCCGCGCAGTTCCGCTACCTGAGCTGGCAGGACGTCGCTCTGCAGGGGCCACATTTCCCGGTCGGGCCGTAGAAAAGTCTGCGGAGGTGATGCGAGGCGCGTAATCGGCGCGGAAATGCTCCAGCGCTCGTACTGCCACCGGTGACCGAAGCGGCTCAGTCCCAAGGACTAAACCCAGCCACGTCTGCGGGATCTGCCCTACGCTGGGTGCATGGAGTCTACCGGCCCTGCAGAACTACAAGTCACAGCATGCCCCGCATTAAAGCTGAACTCCAGACACACAGCTGAAATACATTAAGGGGAGGATCTGTAGTTTTGTCTTATTGGACACTGGAGTGACAACTGGGAGGGTTTATCTATAATGTTCACGAGGGAGTCACCTACAGTATATACCCCCATGAAGGGCAAATATGTGGCACATAAGCCCCTCCCACCCTTGTCAACATGGGCACCATACCATTGGTATAGAGCTCCAGTGCTATAGGAATGCTTCTCTGGGGGCCCTTCTCTGAGTACTCCCCAACTGCTAGAGGGCATGTGACTGGTATCAGCATGGAAGGGACACACCTCACTGCCCTCCTGCTTTGCCGGGCTGCTGTCATTTGGCAGTGCAGCAACCTCTGAACCCCGACTCTCTAGAAAATAAGAGGAGACATGCAAATCCTTCATAATCAACCTGCACAGGTATAAACCTGATAAACTATTCTTATCTGCTCCTTCTGGTCTCTAAAACAGAGGTCGCCAGCTCCGTCCCCTGCAGCTTTTGGGGAACTACAAGTCCCATGAGGCATTGCAAGGCGGACAGTTACAGGCGTGACTCCCAGAGACAGAGGCATCATGGGATTTGTAGTTAAAATCACAGCTGAAGGGCTGCTCTACACTATCCCATTGAGAGTGTTTTGTTTTACCCGACCAATCAGTGCGAAGCGCACCTGCCAGAAATCCAGTGAGCTGATAACACCCTGTGCCCCCTGCGTGTGCTGCACTCTTTATCAGTTACATTGTTCCCAGCTATCTCTATGAGCTCCAGAACACTTGTAGAGGCAAGGAGGGGCGGAGGTGTTCTGTAGCCTGGCCTTTGAATGACAACACTGCTCCACTATAGAGAATTGTGAGTGAGCGTTGCCACCCTAGGCCAGGAAGTGACATCAGCAGGACCACCAGGTGCAGGAAGAAGACGAATG